TCGAGGCCAGCCTCCTCCTTATCGCTAATGCTCCGCTGAGCGAAAACGGATTGCCTCCTAATGGCTTCAATTTAGTTTTTCGTGGAGTAAAGAAAATTTTATTCAATACCTGTTTTCATCTTTATTATATCAGATTTGCCGCCGCTGTCATCAGGCTCATGAGCTGGCTTGTGGCTCGATTAAGGGGGATCCGACCAAGCTGTTTGCCTGAATAAACCTCTCATGAATATGGATGGAGCTGTGACCTGGCCCTTAAATGGGAGAGGATAGAAGGGTTTATTGCTCTGTTCGTAAGCCTTTGCATCTGTAGTGAAGGAAACCAGTCTGCCGGGGCCCATTGATATGCTCAGTGATCAGAAAGCATATCTTTCTGCCAGCGCCAGTTAAGATCCTAGGAAGACTCTGCTGGATCAGACCAATGCTAGACCAGCATCCTGTTCTCACAGTGGCCACCCAGATGCCTGTTGGAAACCTTTAAGCAGGACCTGAGCACAAGAGCTCTTTCCCCTCCTGTGGTTTCCAGCAACTGGTATTCAGAAGCATTATTGCCTCCAACCATAGAAGCAGAGCACAGCCATCATGGCTAGCAGCCATTGATTTGCCTCTCCCCTGTTTGACAGTGTGTTACTTTTATGGTGTGGAAAGAGAACCACACAAGGTAACATTTCTGCGGTATGATCTTGAATTGGTTTAATTTTGGGTCAGCTCCAATCCAAGCGGGTGGCGCTGTAGGTTAAACCACAGAGCCTAGGACTTGCAAATCCCTGCAACGGGGTGAGCTCCCGTTGCTCGGTCCCTGCTCCTGCCAACCTAGCAGTTCAAAAGCACATCAAGTAGTGCAAGTAGATAAAGAGGTACCGTTCTGGCAGGAAGGTAAACGGCATTTCCGTGCACTGCTCTGGTTCGCCAGAAGTGGCTTAGTCATGCTGGCCACATGACTCGGAAGCTGTACGCCGGCTCCCTTGACCAATAAAGCGAGATGAGCGCCACAACCCCAGAGCCCAGAGTCGGCCACAACTGGACCTAATGGTCAGAGGTACCTTTACCTTTACCTTCTCCAATCTGGTGCCCTCGGGATGTTTTGAACTATAGTTTCCATCAGCTCCTGCAGTCCAAAGCCTATGAAGAGTGCCAGCTCGGGGAAGGCTACTTTCATTGATCAGTCAGTAGAGAAGTTCCGTAGCTCAGTGGAAGAACATCTGCCTTGCAAGCAGGAGGTCTCAGGTTCACTCTCCAATGGCATCTCTAGGTAGGGCTGGGAGAGGCTCTGCGTCCAAAATGCTGGAGAGTCTACGCTTCTAGTCAGTGTAGACAACCCTGAGCTAGATGGACCAGTGCTCAGTATAAGGCAGCTTCCTATGTTCCTGAGAATTGAAATGGAGAGGTGAGCAATTAGTGAACACCATTATTTTGGCTTGTTTCCAGTGTATTTCTGACACAGTCATACTGGAAATCTCATGGCAATGGCAGTGATGGGACCACCACCCACCCGCCATTCAGAATCTACCAGCGATGGTTTGCTGCTGGAGCCTGGGGCTGAGCTGCAAGACATTTGCTCAGAATGGCTGCCTTTGCAGCTGTAAATAAAGTTTGCCAAACCCGTGTTTTAAAAACAAGGAGAAGAACATTTTGTAGCATAGGGCATGATTTATTTATTTGAAAACACAAATTATCAAAAACAAAACACCCAATCGCTTTGGCGAGGGTTGTGGCCTTTCCCCCCTGCATCCGACACAAAACTGTGCTTTAAAGACACATTATAGGGTCACTGTAGAGCCTTATTTTACTTAACATCCTCATCAATGAATTATTTATGCCCTCCCGATGTTTTATTCATGATAAATATTAATACCAGGGTCTTTAAGAGGAGAGGTTATTGCTGCAATTTTACCTGGAAGAGATGATATTATTGAAATAAAGTGACAGAGATCCCATTTCTTCACTTGGGGGCTGTTTTTGTTGACAAAGCTCTCCTTCCGGTTAACCCTTTGCCAGCTGGAGGACCTCTATCCCGGGGATTCCTAGAGAGCAGTTATGCCTTCTGAACTTGAATGGTTTCGGGGTGGTTTGTTTTTGTTTTGCTTTGGTCCCTGCAAATCATTAGGGGGGGGGGGGCTTTTTCTGGCATGCCTGCTTTGTGTTTGGACCTGGAGCCAATCTATTTAGTTCACGGAAGTCTTTAAGCTCTGTGATGGTTATTCATTCCTCATATGAATATAACTAATAGCAGTGGTGTTCAATCTTCTAGTGGTGTTCAATGTTCTAGGGTGCCAACACAAGTAACATGGGGCATCGTTTGGGGCCTCCATGTTACCCTGTTTGAATATGAATGGGGTCCTTATCAAGGACACACTCAGCCCGAACGGCCCTTGCTCAGAGATACAGCATCTCTGCTTTGCATGCAAAAGGTCCCAGGTTCAGTCCCCAGCATCTCCAGGCAGAGCTAGGTGACAACCCAGCCTGAGAGCTGCTGCCAGTCTGTGTAGACAATACAGAGCTAGAGGAACTCAGAGTACGGCAGTTTCCTAGGTTCCATTCCTAAACTTCCATTCGCAAAGCCCTGATCAGCTTCCATGCAACTCTGTGGTTACCCAAACAATTCAGAAATCATTGCTAGGGGCCCTAAGCCAGAAAACACTTCGCTGAAATGTGTAGCACAATGGAAAAAAGCTTGAGGATAAAACTATGTCCTGGCAGATCATTTCCAGTTACCCTTACAACTTAGATTGTAGAATTTAACAAAAACATTTACTAAGAGCACTGCTAAAAATAGAGTGATGTTTCTTATGAGCCTCGCTATTGTATAATAGTATTGCTCGCTAATACAATAAGTATGTTCCGATTCTACCTCCACTTTGGTTGGTTGCTGCTCAAAGCCCTTTTCTTAGCACAATAAAATGTAATTAGTGCTCAAGAAGCTTACATAATTTAATAAAATGCTCTCAGATGGCATTAAAATCCAGTTGAAACCAGGGTTGTTGTTTTTTTGGTGTTCCCCCCCCCCCCCCGTTGTTAAAAGACGGAGAGGAACAACGGTGGATCCCTTAAAAGCACAATCAGCATGTTGTATTTTCTAAACCCTCCCTATTTAGTGAGCTGAAGCTTATGACAGAGGGGCGTGAGAGGAGGGTGATATGGCCCATGTTTAATGTATGAAGTGGAATAAGAAGTCTCCCATCTGTCGGAGCCCAATGGGAGTCTGGAGATGAATGATGGATCCTTCCTGACATGTCTTTGGTTCTTTCCCTTAAAGAGTTGCACATGTATTATCTTTGATGTGTGTTGAAGGAAGGAGATTGAGGTGTGTGTGTTAATGTGCAGCCAGGAGGCATTTTGTGTTAAGGGGAGGCTGACAGGGGGGCGAGGATAAGGCACAGTTTAAAGATGGGCTTTTTGGTTTTGGAGTTATGAGCACGGATGAAAATATCCTGGAAAAGGATATTGTGGAGTTGGAAAAGGTTCAGGAAGAAGAGCAACCAGAATGATCAAGGAGATGGAGCGACTTCACTATGAGGTTGCAATGTTTAGGGGCTTTTCAGCTTAGGGGAAAATTGAGCAACAGGAGACATCATAGTGATGCATGAATTGATGTGTGGTGTAGAGAAAGTGGATAGAAACCAGTTTCTCTCATCATACTTGAACTTGAAGCTGAATGTTGAAGGACTGAGAGCAAACGAAAGAACTCATTTGCACACCACGTTGTTAAACTGTGGAACTCCCTCCCTCAGGAAGCCGTAATGGCCACCAACTTGGAACAGCTTTAAATGAGGATTAGACAAAATCTTGGAGGAGGAGAGGGCTAACGATGGCTGTTAGCCCTGATTGCTACGCTCTTCCTCCATGGTTGGAGGCAGTAATGCTTCTGCGAATTACAAGAGGTGAAATTGCTCTTGTGATTGATTCCTGCTTGCTGGCTTCTCACTGTTGGGCCGTTGTGAGAACAGGTTGCTGGACTAAATGGGCCATTGGCCTGATCCAGCAGGCTCTTTTTAAGTTCCATGTCCTGGCCCCAGAGCAGGAATATTCCTGAGAATCCCCATAGCAGGAATCCCTGAGGAGATTTAGCTGTTGGGAACATCTGGAGGGCAACAGCTTGGCAAAGATGGACATAGGCTGCATTTTTTGGAGTCTTGGGTTGCTCTTGACAGTAGCTGTGCCAGAATTTGAAATACAGAATTAACTTTCAGTTCACATTTCTTAGTGCAGAAAGTATTGATCTGATGCGTAGAGATCTTTCCTGTTCTACTTAATTCCAGAAGAGAGGCTTCTGGAAGCTTCTCTGTGTGAAGGATACAAGCAAAAGGCTCGTTATATTTGGGTTGTTCCTTCAGAGAAGCTGAGTAAAGCTGGCTTAAACTGGTTCTGTTATCTCTTTCAGCCAAGGTCATGCTGACTATAAAAGTAGGGCCAGAAGCAGCCTAGGTTTCACTGCCTCTTTCTATCTCTCTTCCTTCTGGTGTGGTGTTCTGTACAGTGGGTACCTCGGGTTACATACACTTCAGGTTACATACGCTTCAGGTTACAGACTCCGCTAACCCAGAAATAGTACCTCGGGTTAAGAACAGAAATCGTGCTCCGGTGGCGCAGCGGCAGCAGGAGGCCCCATTAGCTAAAGTGGTGCTTCAGGTTAAGAACAGTTTCAGGTACCACTGTACATGGTTAAGGTTAAGGTTTAGATTTATTATAAGTTATTGTAAGTTTAAGTTAAGTTAAGTCTGCTGCAACTGGATTTCTTATGGACAGTGCCAGTCCTGAATATATTGGATTTGTGACCATTATGCCCATTTGCCTTCAGTAGCAGTAAAGCTCTGCTGGATGAAATACAATTGCCTCTGATCTGGGTTTTTTTTTTTTGGTGTTTTTTTTTGGGGGAATCCTACAAAGTTTTTACTCTACTAACTATACATTGGAGTTCTGCTCTGGATCAATATTGAGTAGAATTCCACGACATTTCCCCCCACATTTCCTTTCAACTTTCCCCCTTCCTTTTCCCCTTTCAGCTATGTCTGACTTCCACATCCACCCCCAGAGTGCAGTGGTGGAAGAAGGCGGCGTGGCCAGGTTTCAGTGCCAGATCCATGGCTTGCCAGAGCCTGTGATCATGTGGCAGAAGAACCACCTCCCCATCAATACAGAAAACGAGAGGTAAGGACAGTGGGCCCAGCTCCCTCCAAACAGGGCTGCGAGTGCTGCAGGGGTGTTTTTCAAACTCTGCACTATTCAGAAACACCTTGCAGGTGGAAAGTTCTTCATATCTACTGTGGAACCTATCATTTATTTAAATCGCAAGATTTATATACCGCTTGATTGTAATGAAACCTCAAGGTGGTTTACAGAAAGGATAAAACAACTGAATTATCAGTAAAATAAATGCAGTTAGAAACAGCTGTCGAAAGTATCCAAAAATTAATTAAAATTCACAATAAACTTGAAATCCAGATCAAAACACATGCCAACATTCTCCATGTCTGGATAGGCTTGCCTGAACAAAAATCTTCTCAGCAGGTGCTCAAAAGGGTACAGTGAAGGCATTTGCCTGGGGTCAATCAGCAGGGAGGGACGTGAGGTGGCGCTGTGGTGCCAACTAAAGACGCTAGACTGCGATCGAAGGTGCAGTTATCCCGCGCGGGGTGGCTCCCGTCGTTCGTCCAAGCGCCAAACAGTTTAAGACTCGGGGCAAGTAGTAATAGGACAGCTTACAAGGAGTAACGGCGTTCGTGTGCTGTGCTGGCTCGCAATGCAGCTTTGTACGCTGGCCACGTGACGGAGTGTTCGGCGGTGCTCCGGCCTTAGAGTGAGATGAGCGCAAACCCGAGTCTGGCAAGACTGGCCTAGGGCAGGTACTTTACCTTTCCTTTATCGCAGGAGTTCCAAATGGGCTGCTGCCACACTAAATATAGTTTCTAAAACTTCCAGGCAGTGGGGCAACTAGGGAGGTAGATGAATTGCCTGGGACCTCAAAGGGGGCCTCCGATTTAAAGGTAAAGGTAAAGGGACCCCTGACCATTAGGTCCAGTCGCGGATGACTCTGGGGTTGCAGTGCTCATCTCGCTTTATTGGCCAAGGGAGCCGGCGTACAGCTTCCGGGTCATGTGGCCAGCATGACAAAGCCGCTTCTGGCGAACCAGAGCAGCGCACGGAAACGCCGTTTACCTTCCCGCCGGAGTGGTACCTATTTATCTACTTGCACTTTGATGTGCTTTTGAACTGCTAGGTGGGCAGGAGCAGGGACCGAGCAACGGGAGCTCACCTCATTGTGGGGATTCGAACTGCCAACCTTCTGATCGGCAAAGGGGCCATTAATCTTTTGGCATCTGATAAGCTTCACAAATTTTTCATGTGCATTGGACCAAAATGTGACAAAACTCTCTCAGCTTAAGAGATGTGATTTGTTTAAAGGGATTTCTTTTTGTTACCTGTTAATAGATTTTAAAGAGTTAAAATTAAAATGTTCATGAAAACCAATAGAAATATATTTATGGCACAAGATTAGACCCGTGAAGAATGTGTCCTCTCAGATCAGCTGATTAGATAAACAAACCCATTTTTGGAGGGAGTTGTGCCTTATTTTGTTTTCATGGGTTGTCCTTTAAAAAATTTTTTTAGCGTAGCTAGGGTCCCCAAAAGCTGGAAGCGAGACGAGCCTTTCTGGACCCATGACAAGGCCTGGATGCAGTAGAGGATTCTGGGAAATGTTTTTGGGAACCCTGTGCTTGCCATTGTCTGTTCAGATTGGACCTCAACACTGAACTGAGACTGTGTCCCAGAACATGCCAGGCATCCCCCCCCTGTTGCTGAGCCTTTCAAGAAAATACTGTGGTCGGCAAGCTGACTTTCAGAGAAGACAGACAGCTATTACTGATCTGGCAAACCCCTGATAAGCTTCTCCGAAGCTGCAGGCTTTGAAAACCAGTGTTCCAGAATAATAGCAGCGCTAAGCTTGATATTATAAATAAGCAAGGGAACTTTCCAATTCATAACCCACCTTCATTCACCTGTCCCCCAACCAATCGCAGAGGCAATTAAACTGGTCAGTGAAAAACATCCCGTGATAATCCCAGGGTGTGTGCCTGCGCATTTGAAATGAAGCTGATTTGGAACAGAGAAAAAGAAGTAACTTCTTCGCACAGCACAAAGTGGAATTTGCTCCCCAAAGAGGCAGCGACATTCACCGAACTGGATGGCTTGAAAAGGGGGTTAAGACCATTCCCTGAAGGAGAATTAGTCCACAATGGCTATGTTCTGCCTTCCCTGTCAGAGGCAGCAAGCCTCTTGAATGCCCATCGCTGGGAATCGCAGGTGACAGGCAGTGCTGTGGTGCTCAGGTCTGGCCTACAGGCTTCCCATGGGCCTCTGGTTTGCTGCCACGAGAACAGAATGCTGGACTAGATGAGATCTGGCAAGGTTCTTTTTGTGTTCATAGAATAAAGTGTCCTCATTTGATGCATGTTCACAGAACAAATTTTGCAATTCAGGTTTGTGTTTGTTGGCTTGGTATGGCTGCAGGCTCGCACCATTGCCAGCTTGCCTTTTCCCCACTTATCACAAATCAACGAGGATTATTCATTCCTTAGTTGTTTGTTAATTTTTCAATCCATTTATTTCCACCACCCCCAATCATGGGTGTATCCAAGGGGGGGGAGCAGGGAGGGCAGCTGCCCCCCCCAAATCAGTAAAAATACATAGCTAATTGAGGTTCTGCCCCACCCTAAAAAAAATCCTGGCTACGCCCATGCCCCAAATTGATTGCTTTATAGCAGTGCCTCCAAAGTAGCTTGCAAATATTAAAATGTTGCTGTTGTTTACCTGTCCTTTACCCTTAAGATTCCAGGGCAGTTCATAGCAATTAAAATACAATATTAAAAACAATTCAAATAGTTCATAGACATAAGGTGGATCCTAAAAATATACATATCGGGTGTCAAAAGCCAGAGTAAAGAGCTGCATCTATAAAATACATACACAGATGCATAGAGTATCATCAAAACAATCCGTTTTTCATTCGGCTAATGCTTACCACATACAAAAAAATAGTATTTTAGTTCAGTTCTGAAGGGGGAAAACTATTTACTTCCATCAACTGAATACTGAAATGCTAGAAAAGCAGAGAATCATAAAACCATCTATGAGATCAGGCATACCATGTGATTGTTCATCTCTTTCTTTCGCTGATCATTTTATCAGTATGCCCCTCAGGCACCTGATTGGAAGCAGAGTTCGATCTGGCCTGCATATGCAGGCGAATAGCGGGCAGTATGCTGAGGTGGCAGAAAGGACCACAGCACTACATTCTGCAGGTGTTGGGTGCCAACTCTGAATGGTCTACCATGTGAAAACAAAACAAAATAAATCCCCTTGCAGTCAGAAAACTAACATAACAGGGTTCTTTGCTGGATGTGCTAGATTTCTACTTGCAAGGAGCCTTAACAAAAACATTCAAAACATCACCAGCCACCTGCAGTTTGGAGTGGCATACTTTGCCCCCTCATTCTGGAGCAGGCCTTTACCCTTCTAAATACCCATGTACCCACTACTATGCTGAAACCCCCCTCACTTTCTTTCCCTTGCTTTTTCCTGCTCCTTTAGGTACACGCTGTTGCCCAAGGGTGTTTTGCAGATTACTGGCCTGCGAGCTGAAGACACTGGGATCTTCCACTGTGTTGCCACCAACATTGCCAATGTGAAGTTCAGCAGGGGAGCCAGGCTCACTGTGTCAGGTTGGTGTGTTTGTGGGACAGAGGGGGGCAGAAGCAGGTGGTACGTCCCGCTTATTTCCTACCAGGCCAGCCTAGTAATGCGACTCATTTGGCTGCAGTCAAGACCGGTGCTTAGAATGGTGTTGGATGCCATGTGCTGGCTGGGACTGTTGAGAATGCAAAACACCTGGAGGGCACTGGTTAGGGGACTACTGAGAAGATAGAGCTTACCTTCACAAAGCCCCCCCTTTTTTACCCTCCCTGCCCGCTGTGCCCACTGTGCTTGTCAACCTGTCAAAAGTCTTGAAACAACAACTGTGTCCGGATTCTGCAGTGCAGGTGCATAGAGCTGTTTTGCCAGGGGCAAGCAGTAGATGGTTGACATTCCTTGAACACATTGCTCCGTAAAGCCGGCTGCTTCTCAGCAGGGGATGTGAAATTCTGCAGCCAGAATCCTACCCAAGAGCCCTGAATTTGTGGAAAGTGCTTTGATGGAAATTAGTGGAATAGAGAGGAGAAGGGAGTAAAGTGGTTGGGTTGGCCCATCTTTTCTCATGCCCAAACACTGCAGACTGGTGGGACCAGAAGGCCACTCCTCTGCAGAACCCAACAGTCCTGGCTCCTGCTCATCACACATAGGCAAACATACAAGTAAGAAAGATGCATGACATGCTCCCTCATGAGTCTCTCTCGCTTTGCAGGAATGTTGGGCTTGCAAATGCGCTCTCCGTCTGAACCCCCCAAGACCCTTGGCTAGTGCCCAACCTGACCAACTCTTGGTCCTGAGCCTGGCAGGATGCTAAATAAGCCTTCCTTGGTCTGGCCCTATTCTCCAAAGGGACACATTACTTTCTGGCACCCTCTTGAAAGCTGCTTTCCTCATCAAGTCCCACCTCCCTTGAGCCTTGACACCCACTTAGCAAATGGCTGTTCACACCTGCTTACCAACATGTCCTGGAAACCAGCCTTCGGAGGAGGAATAAGTCAAACCTCCATCTCTGGTCTGCGGCAAAGCTGACCTCTGGGCAAAAGCGGCATTCCTTTCATGCCTTGCAGCCCAGGCTGGCACTGCTTGCTTTTTGGTGATGGGCAGAACCTAACCGAGCAAGCAGCTCTCCCAACAGCTTAATCTTAGAGCTAAGGTGATCCCAAGGGGAGCTGTCCAGGGCAGCAAGTGAATTGGTGTCAGGGGAGAGGGACCTACCTCAGTGATGGAACATCTGCTTTGCATACAGAAGGACCCGGGTTCAATCCTTGATGTCTCCAAATAGGAGTTGGAAAAAAGTCTTACCTGAATCCTTGGAGAGCTGCTATCAGTCAGGGCTGAGCTAGGTGGTCTGACTCAGTATAAGGCAGCATGCAGTGTAGGATTTAGAGGGCATAGGAAGACTTACTTACTTACTTACTTACTTACTTACTTACTTACTTAAAATAAAGGGGACCCCTGACCATTAGGTCCAGTTGTGACCGACTCTGGGGTTGCGGCGCTCATCTCGCTTTATTGGCCGAGGGAGCCGGCGTACAGCTTCCAGGTCAAGTGGCCAGCATGACTAAACCGCTTCTGGTGAACCAGAGCAGCGCATGGAAACGCCGTTTACCTTCCCGCTGGAGCGGTACCTATTTATCTACTTGCACTTTGACGTCCTTTTGAACTGCTAGGTTGGCAGGAGCAGGGACCGAGCAACGGGAGCTCACCCCGTTGCGGGGATTCGAACCGCTGACCTTCTGATTGGCAAGTCCTAGGCTCTGTGGTTTAACCCACAGCGCCACCCACGTCCCTTACTTACTTACTTATTGCATTTAAACACCACCTTTGTCTTCCAAGGATCTAAAAGGTGGTTACATGGTTCTTCCTTCCCATTTCATCACCTTAACAACCCTATGAGGTAGGTTAGGCTAAGAGATGGGATGTTGAGTGGCCCAGAGTCACTCACTGAGCTTCATGGCTGAGTGGGGATTCGAACCCAGCTCTCCCCATGTCCCAGTCCAACACTAACCATTATTATGCCACACTGACTCTTTTAAAAGATTGTATAATAAACCAGTCGTGCCTCGTGGCTTTACCTTGGAACCCTTGTGGACATCTGCGCACGGGAGCCAAGCCTAGTGAACTAGGGTGTTGTGGGTGTTTCAGCTTCCAGGTCATTGCCGTTTTAGGGTGATATCTAATCGCATCCCAGCAAATTCAGGTTGCCCAATTATATTTGACTGGGAGGTCTTGTGCAACAAACCTTCTTCCCCAAATTATCAGGCTTTTTGCAGCGAGGAAAGCGACAGGGCAGTGCATTGAAAATTGTGGAATTACACTTGCTTTGATGCAAGGATGTGTAACCTCCCCAACAAACAAATCAGAATCATTAAATAGCCAGCGTTCTCTAATTTCCCTGCAAACCAACAGTGTTGTCTAATTTCCCTGCTCAATGAACAGGTTGCCTAGAAGCGCCCCCTTCAGCTGTAGAAGGGAATAGCACGATGCAGCATCTGCTCCTGTGACTGGCAGGCAGCATGAAGCTTCCTGATTGGCTAAGGCTGGTATAAATTCCAGGAGTCAGCCCCTTGTGCTCTTTCCTGGTCAAGAGAACCTCCTCCCTGCAGTATTTCAGCCTCTGCAGTGAGTGGGAAGGCAGGCAGGTTTGGGCCATGGCTGCTTTCTCATACGAACACTAGGAACTGCCTGCCATTGAGTCAGGCCATTGGCTCAGCTCATTCAATACTGTGTCTACAATGACCAGCAGAAGCACGCCGTGGTTTCAGGCAGGGAACTCTCCCATCCCTACCTGGGAATCGAACCTGGGACCTTCTGCACGCAAAGCAGATCCTTTACCACTGAGCTGCGGCTCTGCTTCAGCCTTGACATGACACAGCACTTCTGAAACCTTACACTCGGAGCACCCGCCCCAGCAATGAGGTGTATATATACACATACAGATGCACCTTCTCGATTTCAGAATGTCTCATGTTAATGCTTGGTTTGCCATGCACAGGTTCTCATTCTCCCGTGTACAAGGATCCCATGATTCTCGTGGGACCAGAGAACCTGACCTTAACCGTGCACCAGACTGCCATCCTGGAATGCATAGCAACCGGAAACCCCAGGCCTATCGTATCCTGGAGTCGACTTGGTAAGTGACCAGAGGTTACCCTCGTGTCAGAATCCATACACAAGAAAGGAGGGTGTTGCTTCTACTTCAGTGTGGGCAAAGTTACCGTATTTTTCGCTCTATAAGACGCACTTTTCCCCTCCTAAAAAGTAAGGGGAAATGTGTGTGCATCTTATGGAGTGAATACAGGCAAGAGGCTCTGCTCAGTGCTCCCTTTAAAGAGTGTGTGGAGTGTGCTTTTCCTCAGGGAAAAGCCCCCAAGAGCCGCACACACGCTCCGCACGCTCTTTAAAGTGAGCGCGGCTCTTGGGGGAGCCTTCCTACTGCTGCCCAGGAGAGGCTGTGCGCGGCTATCCCATAAGCCAGGACAGCAAGGGGCTATCCCAGAAGCCAGATCCCTCTTGCTGTTCTGGCTTCTGGGTTTCAGAATATATTTTTTTCTTTTTTTCCTCCTCCAAAAACTAGGTGCGTCTTATGGTCTGGTGTGTCTTATACAACGAAAAATACGGTACATACAGCATATTGTAGTTGCTACTAGGTAGGAATTTGGTTTGAGGTATGAAGACCCTTGTGAGCTGGAAGAAGTTGCTAGTTTTGCGTGTAAAGCTGGTAGCATTGGAAGGGACCCAGAGAGTCATCTAGTTCAACCCCCTGCAATGCTTTTGTCTTCTGTTTCTTGTGGTTTCCTCACATCCGCGTCTCTATGTCCCTGAAATGCAGGCTGCGTACCCGTAATACATTTAAAGCACGTTGCTCCCCCCACGGAATCCTGGGAAATGTAGTTTACCACTCACACAGGCATACAATTCTGAGCACCCTTAATAAACCACAGTTCCCAGGATTCTTTGAGGAAAGCCACGTTCCTTAAACATAGCACAAACATGTTCCTCGGAGCCAGCAGGATCAGATGTTCCTTGGCTCTCCATAGGAGAGCGAATTCGCCCTTTCATTTTCAGTGCTAAAGCGCTCTCTGCTAGTTAATGAGATTCTAGCTTCTAATCCCTCACGGCTGGTTGGTGAGCTATGGAGGCCCTGCTGATCCCAGGACTGCTGGAGCAGAGTGGGGTCACTGCCTCTGTCAACCATAGCCAAGCTAGAAGCTTTAAACACACACACACACACGTCCGGCCACATCAATGTGCTCTGTTTGTTGTGGTTTGCTGCCCTGACCACAGCAATGCTGCTTACTTTAAATACCTTTTCCCACCTTGGCTGCACCATACAAATATAAAACACCTTCTTTCTCTACAACTGCATTAAAAAAATATATATTGTGATATCTGAAGTTGAGAGAAGGAACTGCTGCAAAGGTTGTGAGAGGCAGATTGAAATTATTAAATGGACAGCATTTTTGAAGGATGCTATGAATTGCAAAAAGAACTTAACAGAAATGGAACCAGTAGTTAGGTTTCAGCGAAAGGCCTTCTTTTTTTTCCCCAGCCTGAGGGGTGAAATCCCCCATGGGCAACCTCCCAGGAGCCACATTTATATAAGATTAATATGAAAGAAAAATCTCCAAGAGTATATAAAACCAGCCAGTATATAAAACCAGCCATATAAATTGTGGGTTTTTTTTTATGTTGTATTAATAAGCAATATAGAAGTGCTCATCCTCACATCATTCTAATAAGAGGTAAAAGCATCCAGTGTGACCAAATTCAGTTGTCACGGTAAACCTGGGCATATAACTACACCTTTAAAATACAGGCAATGACCAATTTATGTGCGTCCGCGTGGATCGCAGCAACCCAGAAGTGGCCGGAAAAGGGGTTGGAATGGGGGCAGGGCAAAAGGAGGTGGAGTGGGCTTACGCTCCTCTTGGGAAAAGAGGAGGATTACGTGGCCTTGTGAAAACTGCAAAGTTTGGGAGAAGTATATAAAAAGTGAAAAACTGTTTATGCCTGAAGTACATTGATGCTTTGAAGATTGATATCGTTGGCAAAAGCCGTCTTTAAACAGTATTTATTGGAACTTAAGTTTGTGCCTGTATTATATTTGTTTATTTATCTTGAATCAGGAAGAATGTTACATACTAGCTGAGATTTGTACATATGAGTAATTCTCATATCTCAACAGTATAACTTATTGTGCACTCTTATCTTGTTGTTCATGTGGCATTAGAATAAAATTTATTAATGAATTTTAAAAAACACAACTGAAGTTGAAAGCTAAAATCTGCTCAGGGCTGTTTCAAAAGAGAGTTTGGGTTTGGTATAAGAGAAGCATATCTCCTCATCCCATTTCTGGTCCCTTAGAGTGAGCCTGGTTGTTGTAGGGGAAACGGTGCTTGCTAGATTAAGCGAGAGAGAGAGAGAGAGTTCTAGGCTCCTTCGCACCATGAATACCAGACAGACCCAGGGTGTAATTTGCTCTTGTGTTCCTCCAACCCAGATGGCCGACCGATTGGCGTTGAAGGAATTCAGGTCCTTGGGACAGGAAACCTGATGATCTCTGACCTCACTGTGCAGCATTCTGGGATATACGTGTGCGCAGCCAATAAACCCGGCACGAGGGTGAGGCGGACAGCCCAAGGAAGGTTGGTGGTGCAAGGTAAGGCAGTCAGGATTGGGATCCTTCAATTGCTAAGACACCAAATGGCTGTTTTCACAAGTGTAAATGGTCCCCTTGGATTTCCTTCAGCTAGAACCGGAGAGTGACATTGACTAGCATGTACACTCAGTTTTAAAAAATGGTCTCTTTCACTTCCTATACCTCATCAGCAACATTTTACAAGTAGCACATTTCAAGTTAAGAGTCTTCCTGGCATCACATGAGGATATGTCCAGTGTCTACTTCCTCATCATGAATGGATTTTTCAATTTTAGAAATACTACAACTGTGTCCTGGAAATTTCCTCTTCTGATCGCCTAAACAGGGTTGCAGCTGAAAATGTGGTGATAGTAACAAGGGAGTGATGAGGGAGCCTAAATGTATTTATTATTTTTGTTTGGTTGAAAAGATCATTTATATACCTCTTATTAATCCTCAGAACCTCTAAGTAATTTTGCACAAAATTAAAATTACTTATAAAAATAGCCAGTAAAAAACCTTAGCCTAAGATTTATGTATTTTTCGAAATAAAATCAGTTTTAAAACCTACATTATAAAATAAAACTACACAGTAAAATTCATGCCAAATTTACATGTCTGGATAGGCTTGCCTTAAAGAAATGTTTGTGGCAGGTGGTGAAAAAATATATGCAGCGAATGTGCCTCCCTTCAGTGTAAATGGACAGGGAGTTCCAACATTCACGGGGTGCCACAGTGAAAGATTGCTTGCTTGCAAGTGCAAGAGCAAACATTATGTGGCACTTGAAAAATGCCGGTTCCACAGACCAAAACAGTTAAGTGGGCAAGGCGATCCTTCAAGCAAACTGTTCCCAAGCTGTTATATACTAAGAGTAACACCTTGAATTACACCTAGTAACAAATCAGTGGCCAGTGCAACTCTCTGAACAGAAGTCTAACACGATGACAGGGCCTGACTTTTGTCAGCAATCGTGTTGCAGCGTTCAGCACTGACTGCAATTTCAGGACCAAGTGCTGGGCCTCTTGCCCCATCCCTTAAACTACAAGATTTGACTTGGCCAAATACCTTCAGCAGTCTGGCATTGTTTTGTACTCTTTGACCAGAGAGCACTGAGGTTGATGTTCTGCAGAGCAATTGGACAGAAAAGGACAACCAAAATGACTGAGGTGAGGGAACGATATAGCTATGAAGAAAGCTTGCAGCATTTGGGACTTTTTAGGTTCAAGAAAAGGCAAATGAGGCATGACAGGAAATTTAAAAAAAATCTTGCATGGCAGAGATAGAAAAGTTTTTCTCCCTCTCTCATAACACTAGAACTCAGTCAGGGGCTGAGTCGAATGTTGGAAGATTCAGGACAGAATCTTAGATTAATTAGACAAATTCATGGAGGAGAAGGGTACCAATGGCTACTGGCCATGATGACTGTTCTCTACCTCCACATTTAGAGCCAGTAATATTTCTGAATACCAGTTTCTGGAAACCTCAGCGGGGGTGGGGGTGGGGGGAATAGGCTACAGTGCTCAAATCCTGCTTGCAGGTCTTACTGACCACTGTGAGAACAGGAGGCTGGACTAGATGGGCTTTTCTAATAGTCTTAATGCTGCCTGCCCTTACCTCCTTCCTTCTCCCTATGTAAAGGAGCTAGAAGCTTACTTTTTTCTTTTTGTTTTGGGGAAAGGGAAAAATAAAGGAAGCTGAAAACTTAGTGGGAGAGCTTAGTTCCATGCTCTCCTGTAGCTGCAGTCCTGTGACTAAACCCCTCTGCTGTGCACCAGGGAAATGTGGGGGCTTTTCTCTCCCCCTCCCACCGAAGGCAAAATCCTCCTAACGGCGGACCTGAAAAGCCATTTTAATGACCTTGGCCAATGCTGCTCCAAAAGGAGTTTCTCAAATGTTTGCTGTGCGTCCAGTCTCCATGGTGAAGTTTTTCTACAGAGAACGCCTTTTCCAGGGTTTGAGGAGGGGGGGGATGGGGAGAGAAAAGGGGAGCAACACAGCTGGCAGCGCAGAATTGAATGCTGTTAATCCTTTCCCTGATTACGAGCCCTCGGCTTCGCCTTTGAAGTAGCCCGTTTCCAGCAGCCCGCATTCTCATCAGCTCCCCTCGTTAACCGCTCGGTTTGATGAGCCTCTGAATCTCAAATTATCTCTCTCCCACCTGAGCGGCCTAATTGGCCATTTTCACAGGGAGGGCCAGGCAAGAGCGTTTCCCCCCCCCCCTTTGGGGCAATGGGGAAGGAGATCTCTTTCTCCTAACATCCTTGCCTCCAAACGACATTGTTATAGCCCCTGTTATAGCCAGACCCATTGGCCCGAAAGACCCCCTTCCTTAGGCACCAGTAACTTGGTGCCCTCCTGTGTGCGTTCGCAAATGATTCCTCCAAACAACCATCCCCAAGTCAGTTGCGGCCTAGAAAGAAAACAAGCATAGGAACAAACAGAGAGCACATGACATGTGCAGAAGGCCTGGCAGGGCTGGGAACAACCCCTCTCTGAAAGCCAGGAGAGATGCCGCCACTGTAGATCCACTGTTGAGCCAAATTCCCTTGGGAGGAAGAGCAGGATACAGATTTAATATATAAGCAGTTCTATTTTTCTAGAAAAAGAGGTGCGGGAACTCACCATGCATGCCTCCCATAGTTCTCTTTTCATAGCAATGGCACCCACCTGAGAGGTACTGGAACCCCGTATAAAAGGTAAAGGGGACCCCTGACCATTAGGTCCAGTCGTGGCCGACTCTGGGGTTGCGGCACTCACCTCGCTTTATTGGCCGAGGGAGCTGGTGTACAGCTTCCGGGTCAAGTGGCCAGCATGACTGAGCCGCTTCTGGCGAAGCAGAGCAGCGCATGGAAAGGCCGTTTACCTTCCCGCCGGAGCGGTACTTATTTATCTACTTGCACTTTGACGTGCTTTCAAACTGCTAGGTTGGCAGGAGCAGGGACCGAGCAACGGGAGCTCACCCCATCACGGGGATTCAAACCACCGACCTTCTGATCTGCAAGTCCTAGGCTCTGTGGTTCAACCCACAGCGCCACCCGCGTCCCTTAGGAACCCCGTATAGAAGTAAACAAAAGCAATATGACCCGAGGGCTGCATTTCCACCTGGGCAACCTTCTGGGGCCCACATGACAGCAGTGGGTGAGGCCAGAGCCAAAATTGGATGGAGCAATTCCTGTCAATTTCACCTTTGTATGGTAGGCTGGTTTTCATTCATATTTGCACACACCTCTAAGAACAGCCCTGTTGGGATCAAGCCAATGGCCCATCTTGGCCAGCATCCTGCTCATGCAGCTGCAGACCAGATGCCTGTGGGAAGCTCACAAGTTGGAAATGGGCGCAACAGCACCCTGTCCACCTGAGCCTTGCCTCTGAAGTAGAGGTAAACCTAGCCATTGTGGCTAGTAGCCATTGATCGGCTTGTTCCACACGGATTTGTTTAATCCTCTTTGAAAGCTCCTCTCTATCCTCCCATCTAGGGAAGGGTGAGGCATCACAAAAATTCTAGGACAAAATTCCAGCCAGGCAAAGACACTCAAGGAGAGGGTGCAAAACAGAGACAGAGAGCCTTGGAGGGTACATCCAGTCCCCAGGCCTGAGGTTTCTCATCCCCTATGAAGACAAGCCTGAGCTTGCATGGGTTGACATAATATGAGGCAGCTCCCCAAGTCCCTTGGAGAGTTAAGCTGCATGCACACCATACATTTAAAGCACATGGCTTCCTGCAAAGATTTCTGGGAACTGTAGTTTGTTGAGGGGCTGGGAATTGCGGGTCTGTGATAACTACAGTTCCCAAGAGCCTTTGAGGGAAGGCATGTGCTTTAGACGTGTTTGTGTGTGTGCAGCTGCAGTCTTGCTCGTTGCGGTTGACCAGGTGAGCGAAAGGTCAGCCATCCTCTGTCTGCAACACAGCTCTCAAAGCAGTTGGGCTGGAGGAGCCATTATGCAACGAAAGAAGCAGAGTGTGAGGAGGAGGAGGAACGGCTGCTGCTGACAGAGGATGACCCGTTCAGCAGCCTTGATGTTAGGGTGTCCTCCTCCTTCATCCTTTCCCAGACACTCAGAATAATTTATTTCTGCAGCAGTGAGTGGGCTGCTGATTTGAAGGCACCACAGGGTCTGGGGCATACCCATCTGCTGGTTTTCATCAGCTCACACACTATGTTCTCAGGTAGACACAAACGACATCCTGAAAGCAAAAGGTGTTAAACAAAACGCTTGTTAATAACTCATGCCGCAAGTGGGCCGGTTGAAGGTTTGGAGCAGTAAATCAGGGAGTGTCTGGAACATATCCAGAAGCTGCTGGCATAATGCAAAAGCCTCCTGATTGCAGAGAATTGGGAGAGAGTGAGGAAGGAAAGGGGAGAAGGGCCTTGCATGCAGGAGGTCTCAGGCTCAATTCCTAGCGTCTCCAGTTAAGGCTTGAACTGTCCCCTACCTGAAAAACCTCACAGAGTCACTGCCAGTCAGTGTGAGCAGTACTGAGCTATCTGTGGCACAAACTTCCATGTTCCTATGAAGGGCTGGGGGTCTCAAACAAAGAATCCCTCCCCTGTTCTTGTTGCAGTAGCTGCTGCTTTCTGTACCCACAGAAAATATCTCATTCTAGTTGTTAGCTACTTACTGTGACTCACTCATTCTCTTCCTTGCATCAGATGATACCAGACACCTTCTACACTTTCAGTAAGCTTAGGTTCTCCCTTGGCAAAGTTGGCATTCTTTCCTAAAGTACAGTGGTACCTCGGGTTAAGTACTTAATTCGTTCCGGAGGTCCGTTCTTAACCTGAAACTGTTCTTAACCTGAAGCACCACTTTAGCTAATGGGGCCTCCTGCTGCCGCCGTGCCACCGGAGCCCGATTTCTGTTCTTATCCTGAAGCAAAGTTCTTAACCTAAAGCACTATTTCTGGGTTAGCGGAGTGTGTAACCTGAAGCGTATGTAACCTGAAGTGTATGTAACCCGAGGTACCACTGTATAAAGAACTGTTCTTTTGACAGTAGCATAGAACTAGCCTGTCAAAGGAGTTCATTCATTCATTCATTCATTCATTCATTCATTCATCACATTTGAATCTTGCCCATCCAACTAAGGCCACATCTATACCATACAGTTAAAGTGCTATGATACCGCTTTAAGCGGCCATGGCTCCCTGCAAAGAATCCTGGGAGATGTAGTTTGCCAAGGGTGCTGAGAGTGGTTTGGAATCCTCTATTGCCCACTCAGAGCTACAGTGTCCAGAGTTCCCAGGGAAGAAGGTTTGATTGTTAAAGCACCTTCGAAATACTTATTTATTCCCAGCAATCATTATCTTTTAAGCCAACTTAACACAGTGGTATTATAATCAAGTTCAGTTGGGGGCGGGGGGACAGGAACATCTCCCTTCTCTGACCCTCTCAGAGAGTCCTTTTGATCTCCTTCCTTTGATCCCTGCAGCAGACAAGTTTCCTATATTCCTCTCGGTTCTCTGACCTCAGATGTTGGGAGTCTCATTTTCATCCCTTGTCGCAAATGAACAAGCTCCGTATAGGAGAATGGTTAACAACTTAAGACATACAATGACAAAATGAAGAGGGTGTTTCTTTTTGAGGCAGGGAGAAAGAAGAACAGATTGCAAAGAAACAGGGATCCCTCCCAGCCACCCATCCTTTCTGTTGTTTCCAATTAGCCATTTGGTGTCATAAGAGACCGGACAGGCTGGTGAATGTCCAGATGGGCACCGGCATCCTCTGACTGAAGCAGAGGGGGGTGGACAGAAATGCTGGTCCTCCACAAGTATGCTGACACCTTCCTCTTGTTTCCCAGTTGCCCCTTTTTGTCTACAGTGCCGTGAGCCCTCTAGGGAGGCCAAATGTAAAAGAAGGCAAGGCTCCTGAGCCTTTAGTAGCTGGGTAGAAGAAGGAGTTGTTGTTGTTTTTTTGAGAGGTGTACTTTGCACAACTAACTCTACCTGCTGAAATTCCCTTTTCTGCACACCACTAGCTAGACCCACTACATCACTCCCTGCCTGAGTTAATAGGAGGGATGGTGCTGGTTCTAAATTCACTTCCTTCTGCTCTGGGGATTACAGGCCTGGGCATTCCTTTCCAGATCATGCCATTCATTCATTGGTAATTTTGTTCATACAATGCTTTCCCACAAATGGTGAAAATGGGTTGCAATAAAGAAAAAGGGGAATGCTTCTCAAAATCAGCCATCACAAGAACACGATGTTTTTGTGTGTGTGGCCACTGTCTATTTCCCCACTGAGTGCTCCAGGTCATTGGTGGCAGAGCCAAGACTGGCTGGAAGTCATGCTGTGCCAGTCCAACTATATAACCCTCTAGCTCTTTATGCAACTTTCTGTGTGTGTGTGTATTTGAAGGCATAATGTTCTTCGTAAAGGGAGGCCAATGCAGGCCTCTCCCAGGGACCTTAGGACCTGGCATCTTCCTGGGCATCATGGTGATGCCAGTTCCAGCAGCTCCCATTCATTTATCTGGGTCTAGCACAGGAAAACATTCACCTCTGCAATAAGCTTAGTTTTCTGCCTCCCCCACCCCTAGATAGATAGATAGATGATATAGATAGACAGATGACAGACAGACAGATAGATAGATGATAGATAGATGATAGATAGATAGATAGATAGATAGATAGATAGATAGATAGATAGATAGATAGTTGATAGATAGATGATATATAGATGATATATAGATAGATGATAGAAATGGAGCCCATGTTTTCCTTTGTCTTTGCAGCTCCTGCAGAATTTGTACAGCACCCGCAGTCTATTTCCAGGCCCGTGGGGACCACTGCCATCTTTACCTGCTTGGCACAGGGGGAACCTCCTCCGCAGATAACGTGGCTGAAGAACGGGCAGATTTTAGAACCTACGGACCACATTAAGCTGAAGAACAACAACAGGTAAATCACTTATGTGTAGATCTTAAGATTCTCTGGGTAGGGGACGCCAAGCAGACTGAATGGGCCGAGTCCAGTGTTCTCTGTCTGCTAGGACAAGGGTCCTTGTCCTAGGGAACGGGCGAATACCTCCTTCTTCCAACAGGCTTCTGGGAACTGACTTCTTTTAAAGAAAGGGCTGCTGTTGTGCTGTTTTGATTGTTATTATCTGTATGTTTTTAATAGACCTATTATTATTATTATTATTATTATTATTATTATTATTATTAAGCTTTGCTACCTACCCGAAACCCGTTTTCTGGCCTTAAAGTTCAGTCTGCCTCACCCCTAGCAGCAAACCCAGGAGTGTAAGGGCTGGCTGTGATAACCCTTGTGGGTACAGGGTAGGCACTCTCTACATGCTCAGAACCCCTTTAATTTAGTAGCATTTCATCATATGGCTGGCAGAACGTATGTTTTCAGTCAATGTCTTCTGTACCTCAGAGGACTCTCCACATGCTTGTAGGCCCAACAAGACACCGGAGGAGCTTTGGATCATGACAACAATTATTATTATTATTTTCTTGAAGCTCATACACATCTGTTAATATGCTTAACACTGTTATATCACGTTAAGGAGATTATATGAAGCTACAGGGTTTATCCCTCCAGCTCTGTTATTTCTCTCTGTATTGTTGCCTGTTATTTCCATAGAAACCGAAACCCACTGACCAGTAATTTTCACACTAGGCTCACCCAGGCCTGCTATTTCCACCACACAAATATCACTCTGTACTACGGCATGAAAATGTGGTTCTTTGGTCTTTTTTTTGCTTTCCCTGGCGAGATAAGAGGCCCGGATTCAGAGGAAGTCGGTCACAAGGACACTTATTACCTCAAAGTGCAGGGAAGGGAGGTCAATTTGACCCGCAGTTGGGAAGCAAACCGTTAAACCCCTGTTGGAAAACGCTTCTGCAAAAACCAATGCCACTCATTGCAGCTTCCAGCATAGGTTAATGCAATATTCCCCAAACTGGTACCCTCCAGGTTTTTTTTTTGTAATGCAACTCCTTGCAGGTGCATGCTGCAGAGAAAGAGATGACAGAAAAATTGGTTGCCAGTTTATTTCTGAGTCCAAGTCAAGGTGCTCATGCTAGTATTTGTGGTTGTTGTTTAGTCATTTAGTTGAGTCCGACTCTTCATGACCCCATGGACCAGAGCACGCCAGGCATTCTGTCTTCCACTGCCTCCCGCAGTTTGGTCAAACTCATGTTTGTAGCTTCAAGAACACTATCCAACCATCTCGTCCTCTGTCGTCCCCTTCTCCTTGTGCCCTCAATCTTTCCCAACATCAGGGTCTTTTCCAGGGAGTCTTCTCTTCTCATGAGGTGGTCAAAGTATTGGAGCCTCAGCTTCAGGATCTGTCCTTTCAGTGAGCACTCAGGGCTGATTTCCTTAAGAATGGATAAGTTTGATCTTCTTGCAGTCCATGGGACTCTCAAGAGTCTCCTCAAGCACCATAATTCAAAAGCATCAATTCTTTGGCGATCAGCCTTCTAAATGACTCAGGTGTAATGATTCATGGGAGCCAACGTAACAAGTCCTGCTAGTGCAATGGGACTTCTGCCCTCTCTTCCATGGATGAGCCAGAATTTGAACCCAAGTCTGTCCACTCCTGTTCTTGACACCTTAATCACTGTGCAGCATGACAAAGTTCTGTTTCTTTCAGGCAGTGCTGGAGCACGTTGTAGGGCCCCATGTCTATTCAAGAAGAGCTTATAGGTCTATTGTAACCCCCTCCCATCCCCACCCCATGGTGAACTGGGAAAACACCCTGGAAAACACCCAGCAGTCCTCTGTGGGATTGAATTGTTGCAATACATAAGCATTATCTTTTCATGGAGGAGCGCCTTAAATATATTTCCAAGAGACACTTTGGTTTTGCAGAATGCAATTTGAAAATGACTGGCATAAGGAAATAGGAGGAGTCTGCTGGATCAGGCCCATCTAGTCCAGCATCCTGTTTTCACAATCTGTCCACTCCTCTTTTAAAGCCATCCATGTTGGTGGCCACCATTGCCTCCTGTGGGAACAAGCTCCATTGTTTAGCCTAAAGAAGGACTTCCTTTTGATTTGTCCAGAATCCTCCATCATTCAGCTTCATTGGATGTCCCCAAGTCTGAGAGCTATGAGAGAGGTTGAGCGTTATGAGAAAGGGAGCAAACCTTTCCTCTACCCACTTTCTCCATACCAAAAAGGGCCTAGATGAACCAAGTGGATGCGGGTGGCACTGTGGTCTAAACCACTGAGCCTCTTGGGCTTGTCGATCAGAAGGTCGGCGGTTCGAATCCCCATGATGGAGTGAGCTCCTGTTGCTCTGTCCCAGCTCCTGCTAACTTAGCAGTTCAAAAGCACGCCAGTGCAAGTAGATAAATAGGTACCGCTGCGGCGGGAAGGTAAACGGTGTTTCCATGCGCTCTGGTTTCCGCCACGGTGTTCCATTGCACCAGAAGAGGTTTAGTCATGCTGGCCACATGACCCGGAAAGCTGTCCGCAGACAAAAGCTGACTCCCTCGGCCTGAAAGCGAGATGAGCGCCACAACCTCATAGTCACCTTTGACTGGACTTAACCGTCCAGGGGTCCTTTACCTTTACCTTTTTTTTGTGTATACTAGGGGTAAGTTTCCTACAACCAATACCTCCCATGTTCTTGGTGATTCCCAAACCCATGATGCCGAGAAGTCCTTTTCAACTATTTTTGAGGTGCTGGATGTTATTGGAAAGGAGGAGTTGCAGAAAGAAGCCAGGTTTCCTGGGATGCTTTCCTCATCCTTTCTCTCCCCTTCCTCTCTCCTTCCTCTCAATCTCTCTCTCCCTCTCCCCCAAATCCCTTTGTTTCATGCTTGTGTGCATGACTAAACGGTATAGTTCCAAGCAGAATCAGTTTGCATAGTGGCCTTCGGATGTGCACTTGAGGGGGGCGGCGGTATTTGTCTCTGTAATGATGGGATCTCTTATCTTGCAGTTAATGAGTCCAGCTAAACTGCAGCCTGAGTCTCTTAATTAGATTACATGCTTTCCCCTACTGAAAATTTCATTGGATTAAAACTCATCATATAGTAATAAAAAGACTGAATGCCCCTGAAGGATTTTCCTTTTCCTTTTTTTGTTGATTAGAAGAGGGCAGGGGAAAGAGCAATGAAAATTGGGGGGAAGTAATCTACCCCGGATTGAACTGTTTACTAATTAATTGGCAGTATTATCTAAATGATCTCCTCCTCACTTGTTGGATAACACATAGAAGAAAATAAAGCTAAATGAAAAGTGTTGGGTCACAGGCAATGGCTTTCCTTTTCCGTGGACGCTTCCCAAAATTCTAACTGGAGCTTTCCCCATAATTGCTATAAGAACTTAAGGAGAGCCCACATGAATGACATATTGTAAGCCTACCCAGTCCAGAATCCCTTTCCCACAATGGCCAACCAGATGGCCCAATGGGAAATCTACAACCAGAACCTTGAGTGCAACAGTGCTCTCATGTGAGCCAGGAAGCTTCCAGCTTCTATATAATTCTGAGCACCATCTCACTCCCAAACTCCAGCCTTCCTGACCTGGGGGAAAGGGAGGGTTTCTCCATGAGAGAAAGAACAAGGAAGCCTACAGACTTCCAACTGTAGTTGGCCTCTCCAGTGCCCTAGACAGCAAGCCCATTGACCAAGGATGATGGGGAAAGTTTGTTGGGGGTTTTTTGGACAAGAGGTTCAGAGCAGCCTTCTGCAATGTGTTAACTTGCCAGAGTTGCAGATAACAACTCCCACCAGCTTCAGCCAGCATGGCCGTGAGCTTGTATGGGGTGTGAGGTGAGAAAATGTAACAGAACGAAGGTGCATTGCTTTATTTTGGCCTGCTCTGTGCACATCAAGGGCCGTGTGTCTCTGCTTGGAGCGGTGGTGGTGAGTCATCTGCAGGGAAGAAATAAATTATCTTAAAGGGTCTATATCGCCAAGATGCATTTACCACAACGGCATGTAGCAGAGGCCAACCATCTCGATGCAAAGATAACTCCTGATATTGATTTGTGTGTGTGTGTGTTCCTTGTATTTACAAAATGGTAATTAAGTGGGTATTATTTATTAATTCTGCCAAAAAGCAACGCTGAGCCCTGGCCAAGGACTTGCTCTCCTCCATAAACTAGCATCTTATGAACAACTCTTCCCCATCCCCACCTCTCCCCTATTAACTCTCTGCTTCCCCAGTCATCGTAATGTTCACTGGTCGCTTCTTGAATGTCTTTCTTTGAGATCACTCAGCACCAGAGGCAACACACCTGATGGAAGTTGTCGTCCATCAACACCTGGAGGGCACCACATTATATCTTGCTGCTTTAGCCATCATGGTCCATGCTGCTGTAATCAAAGGGTGGGCAGTCACTAGCCTTCCAGATATTACTGGACCCAAAATGCCATCAGTCACAGCCAGCTTGGCAGTGGACAGCAATGATGGGAGTTTAGCAACCCCTGGAGGACACCAAGCTGGTTCCACTAACTTTAGGTGGAAAAGGGCGCAAAGGGTCATCTAGTCCAACCCCTTGCAAAGCAAGAGTAGGATTAGCATTGGGTACAACCTATGGCATCGTGGCTCTGCCAGGCATGGCAATGAAGAAGAAGAAGAAGAAGAGTTTGGATTTGATATCCCGCTTTATCACTACCCGAAGGAGTCTCGAAGCGGCTAACATTCTCCTTTCCCTTCTTCCCCCACAACAAACACTCTGTGAGGTGAGTGGGGCTGAGAGACTTCAGAGAAGTGTGACTAGCCCAAGGTCACCCAGCAGCTACATGTGGAGGAGCAAAGACCCGAACCCGGTTCACCAGATTACGAGTCTATCGCTCCTAACTACACCACACTGAACATTTCCTAGGGGGACTTCAGCCATACAAATCTTCTTCTTCTTCTTCTTTTTACGCCACTGCTTGCCATAACCAGTGAAGGATTCCTTATGTGCATCAAGTCACCCTCAGATCCTG